AAGTAAGTTGCTCACGCCAGGGTGGTAACCTTGGAGCCCCCCTTAAACAGGCTCGTGTTTAGATTTTCTGGAAAAGCAAGAGCAGTCTTCTTTCATTTAACTCCTCAGCAATACAAAGATGGGAGGTGATCACCTGTAAGTACAGGTAACAATAAAAAGACCAGAAGACAGAGGACCTCTCCAGATCCTTAACTTGGGCAGGGTTCATGGGGAATTTACTATCACCAACTCCTGCGGGTGTTTCCTCGAGAAACAGCTGACAAGAAGGTCTCCTTTTGGGTAAGGAAGCTGTGTGGCAGGATCCTGCCAGGAGGCGGCGATGCTTGAACACATTTAGTCCTGAGCGCTTGTCTCTAAACACTTTATTTTGTAGCCCTGCGTGTTTAGAATCATAGAATCATAGAATGCCCAAGGTTAGAAGGGACCAGAGGTCAGAGTCCAACCCCCCTGCTCACGCAGGGTCACCTAGAGCACGGGGCACAGGGCTGCATCCAAGCGGGTTTTAAAGATCTCCAAAGAAGGAGACTCCACAACCTCTCTGGGCAACCTGTTCCAAAAGTTTGGAACCTGTTCCAAATGTTTGATTCCAGTTATTCCTATGTAAATATGCAGTACAAAGTGCCATGTTAATTTATTTACCATTTGCTGTGAAGCAAGATCCATGTGAATATAAATCATGATATTTGCGTTGCATAATTACCAGGTATTTTCGAGACACTTTGCCCCCATTTTCTCTAACCAATGTCAGGATCAGGAATTCCAGATAGAGCAACAGCAAACATGTCCTACGTGCACAGAAAAGGGGGTGAGTTGTTCCTGAGCAAGAGAGATGCCTTCCCTGGACTGAAACAGACGTAGCTACCACAGCTCAGGGATGAATCAGGGCTTCTTATCAATCATGTGAGAATGTTACAGAAGTTGGGGATTGGAAAAGGACTGTGATTGTGTGGAATGATGCAGGGTAACATTGAACTAACACATAGTTACCAGCCCTAAGCGCAGACAGGACAGAAAGCACCTCATGTAGGAAAAAAAAAAAAATCGTAGAATCATAGAATTCTTAAGGTTGGAAGGGACCTCAGAGGTCATCTAGTCCAACCGCCCTGCTCACGCAGGGTCACCTAGAGCACGTGGCACAGAGCTGCATCCAAGCGGGTTTTAAAGATCTCCAAAGAAGGAGACTCCACAACCTCCCTGGGCAGCCTGTGCCAGGGCTCTGTCACCCTCACTGTCAAGAAATGTTTCCTTAAGTTCCTGTGGAACTTTTGGTGCCTCAGCTTGTGGCCGTTTCCTCTAGTCCTATCGCTGGCCACAACTGAAAAGAGGCCGCCCCCTCCTCCTCACTGCCTCCCTTGAGGTATTTAGACACGCTGATCAGGTCCCCCCTCAGCCTCCTCTTCTCCAGGCTGAACAGGCCCAGCTCCCTCAGCCTTTGCTCATAGGGCAGATGTTCCAGGCCCCTGATCATCCTGGTAGCCCTGCGCTGGGCTTTCTCCAGCAGTTCCACATCCCTCTTGTCCTGGGGAGCCCAGAACTGGACGCAGTACTCCAGATGTGGCCTCACCAGGGCTGTGTATAGGGGGACGATCACCTCCCTTGACCTGCTGGAGACACTTTTCTTAATGCACCCCAGGATCCCGTTGGCCTTCTTGGCCACCAGGGCACACTGCTGCCTCATGGTCATCTTGTCATCCACCATGACACCCAGGTCCCTCTCTGAGGGACTGCTCCCCAACCGGTCCACCCCTAATCTGTACTGGTGTCCGGGGTTATTCCTCCCCAAGTGCAGGACCCTGCACTTGCCCCTGTTGAACCTCATGAGATTTCTCTTCGCCCAGTCGTCCAGTCTGTCCAGGTTCCTCTGGATGGCAGCACAGCCCTCAGGGCTATCAGCTACTCCTCCCAGTTTGGTATCATCAGCAGACTTGCTGAGGGAGCACTCCAGCCCTTCATCCAGGTCGTTAATGAATAAGTTGAACAGGACTGGACTGAGGACCGACCTCTAGGGAATACCGCTAACTACAGGCCTCCAGCTGGACTCCGTGCCACTGACTACCACTCTCAAAATCCATCCATATGTTTCTTGACAACCACAGTGCAGAAACCTGAAACTAGAGGCAAAGATTCAGATGGGGAAAGTCCGTTTCAGGGTTCAATAGCACCACTTCCCAGGTGCTGCACTGCATGGTGCAGAGCAGATATGCAGGAGCCTGGGAGATGAGCAGCTCTTGTCCCTGCTGTCCCTGCCTGCGGGCCAGGGGATGATTGGGAGGCTGCAGTGCCTCATTCAGCAGCCAAATGTCACCTCCTGTACACATAGGGAGCCAGCGCTGAGCCTTTGCAGGCAGTCTGCGACATGACCCCAGGTGTGCAGCCAGATTTGGCACTGTCAAAGGAGGGAAGGAATGATGAGAAAGGTGAGGTGTGTAAGGAAAGGAATTATCTTCCTTTAGATGGGCTAATGTTGCTGGGAAAAGGCAGTCACGTATCCTGGCGACACACTACTGAAAGAGTAACTAACCAGAAACAACATCCCTGCAACCACCTAGCTCTCTGAAGCTGAGCTGGTGCCATGCGTCACTCACCAAGCGAGTGTTTTCCTCTGCTGTTGTAATTGCTGTGTTAATTGAGGTGAATACCCACGCGCTTCCTCAGAATATAATTAACACTGCTCTGAGTCTCAGCACAGCTTCCCTGCGGCTGGGAGCTCTGCGCGTTCCGTGATAGCCGGAGAAGCAGGGGAAATGAGGAGACTGAGATTCCTTTGCTGGCCACCAACATTTGTGATGATGAATCCAAATAGTACCTCAGTGACCAGGCCTGTAATCCAGAGCGTTAACTCCCCACATCTGTCCACTATCACAGGTGCTTGACACCGGACAAGAAAGGGCTCTTCGAGTCACACCTAAGCCTTGCAATATGGTGTCAAATAGCCAGCTCTTGGACAGAGCCCACTGCGGTGCAGAAGCAGCCTCCCAACATGCCTACAGCCACAGCAGGCTGTGTGCTGGCCTCCCTGGGCTTCCTGCAAGACCCACTCTCATGTTAGAAATGCACACTCACACACACACATAAAAAAAAATAATTTGCAAAAACAGGTTTGCTAAAAACGGGGGAATACCATAGCAACTTAGGTGAGCACTCAGCCCATGTGCCCAGCAAACGGCAGCTGAATTAATCTGCTCTTTCCTTCTGCTCCTCTCTTAGAGTGAAATGCAGCTGTTTTGAACAGTAGCAGGAGTGTTAGGATACCTGCTGCTACGTTACACGGCAGCACAGTTCACAGAGCACGTGTACAGCACTCACTTGCATGTTTTGAAAGAGCTGCTTAAGAGATTTATGCACTCCCACCATTTAATCCGACCTGTGCTTGGTAATGCCCTCTGCTCCTGACTCTATTCTTACTACACAGTCATATCTTTAAATCTGGTTTTAATCTGTGGGCAGATTTCATCAATGTTATCAAGCAGTTTCATTTAAACTGAGGTATCAGGTAACCTGTGCTCTAGCTCCGTGCAGCAACATGCAGCTGGAAACAGTTACTAATGCTGGCCTTGCCCTGAAAGACATCAAGAAAACTGCACTGAAAATAGAAAGAGTTAAAGAGGTTTCTTATCAGAAATGACCTGCAGAAACCAGATCACTGATGTTGACAGCGAGCAGAATTAAGGGTATTAGCTTTCCTTTCTCTTATACCTAGCTATGATGAAGATGAAAACCGGGGCAGTTGTGGCTCTAAATTACACCTTTATTGGGGACAGGGAAAAACTATCAAAAYGATTGAAGCCCTTGACTCAGAATTGCTATAACCACCTAGATTAGTAATATCGATTTTTGCAACTGGATTTGTGCAGTCATTCCAGGAATGACTGATCCATGGAGAGCTACCTCACTCTACTAGCAGCTTCTGAAAAGCTTCACTCTCCTGGTCACCCTGCTAACAGAGTCTTTTAAAACTGAGCATGTATTTAAATTAAAAGGTAGTAGTGTAGCATGGAGGCACCTGAGGCTGCTCATGGCTCACCTGAGGTCTCTGGCAGCTGCAGGTACACAGAGGTGCTACTGGCACAATCCTGGATGTGCCTACATTCCTCTCCCGGTGCATGAGCTCACCACCCAGGCTTTCCTAACACAAACACACTGTTGAATCGCCATCAATGCATGTCTGTCTTTTTACCTATTTTAAGAGCAGAGATCCACCAATATTACTGCTTCCCCAGGGCATGCGGTAGCCGGGTACTATTTTAAACACTTCAATCAGCCCTTCAGACTTCTTTTCCATCTGTCCATGCTGTGGATGATGCACAGAGGAAGCATGGCATTCCTCCTCCTATTCTTGTAGTTTCTGCTTAAAAGGGAAAGTCAGGACTGGCCACGATGATTCCCCTTTGTGCTGCAGCACTGCATGAGATACACCCCAGACTGCAGCAGGGACAGAATCATGCTGCAAAAATTCACCCTCCGGTGTCACATAGTGGCCAAAGTAATGCTAACCAGGACTCTCTGTACGCAAGCACCAGCACATAGCACTGAGGCTGTTGCCGGAGCTCCCACAGCTTTCTCCATGCCAGCTATTAAAAAAAAGAAGAGCATCAACACCACATATCCTATTTTTGCAAGGTTTCACTTTGGCCGTTCTTTGAGTTGTATAATTTAAGGAAACTGAGGCCTTAGGAAAGACAGATGCATGTGATTTGCTCAGACAGCTCTAGCTGGTCCGTGCCTTCCCCGCCTGGAACAAGGTCCCCGTGGGCCACAGGTCACACCGGTGGCAGGAGGGGCAGGCAGGAGGCATGCGGGACACACCGGGTGCCAAATGAGCCTGGCTGAGGGCAGCCACCCTGTGCAGGGCTACATATTCTGAGACCCAAGTCATGAAAGAGAAACAAATAATAAATAATAGTAACAAGGCRGGTGCAATGCTCTCATTTTTAATGTGTTTCCAGCGTTTCCTGTACCCCCGCCCTGCCGCAGCCTGGCCAAGCGGGCACCCCTGCACTCTAGTGCGTCTTGTCATAGGTGCCAGCGCCCTTGTAGGCGCCCACGTAGCCGCTGTTGTCGGTGAGCTCCTCGCGGCCTGCCAACCCCTTCCCCTTGCCGCTCTCGTCGAAGCGCTCCTTGTGGCTGCCCGTGTACTTGCTCGTGTCCGTCAGCCGCTCCACGGCGCCGGCCTTGGTGGCTTTCTGCGGCCACCACAGCAGGCGGGGGTTAGCCCAGAGAGGGCGGTCTCAGCACCGGGCTCAGCCCCGCGCCCAGGGCATTAGGGAAGGATTGCTCACCGTGACACCCACGTTGGCAGGCTCCTTGCCCTCCAGGAGGCCGTAGACAGCCTGCAGCGCCTCCTCGGGGGCCTTGCCCTTGAAGCGCTGGCCGCAGAGCTCCTTCATGGCCTGCTGGAACTGGGCGAAGGTGATGGTGCGGGCACCCTTGGTCCTGCAGGGTGGCACGGGTATCAACATGGGGCTCATGGACCTCGCCAGGCCCTGTGGCCACCCCCACACGCCCCACACAGGTTGTATTCACTCACTTGACTTTGTTGAAGACGATGTCAACGTCAGTGCTGGTCACAGCCTTGCCGTCCATGACTCCACACTCCTTGCACATCTTGGAGAAGTTCTTCCCTGTCATGTCATTGCCGCTGGCGGCCGTGTCACCATAGGTCGCAAACTTGCGGAAAGTCTCCTCCACCCCTGACATTGCCCTGTCTGAGGAAGAGGAACAGAGTGAAGAGCAGGAGGAAGGCCAGATAAGTGTGCAGGAGGTGGCTGGCAGGGGGATGTGGCCTGCTGGACTCTGATGGTGCCAGGTGACCGAGCCCCGCGTCTCCCTGGCCACCGAGGATTGTGCCCCGGCGCCCGCCTCACAGCCTGGGCGCAGCAGCGGCTCCAGCGCCCCAGCGCAGAGAGTGTCACCTCCGGCACATCRCAGCTAGGATGGGAAGGAGGAGGAAACCTCTGAGCAACTTCTCAGCCAACACAAGCATCCAAGACGCATTCCACACTGGGACAACTATTGACAGGCCCAGGGGAAGGGAGGGCGCACCTGAGGACAAGGCCACAGGAGGGCCATGCGCACCTGGACCGATGGTATCAGTTCCAGTTTGCCTTGCACATAGAAAATTCAACTAATGTGTCTTCCTTTTTTTTTTTTTTTTTTCTTTTTACATAATCTATTAACAGAAATATCTTATTTTTCTACTGAGCCAGTGGGATACTGCAAACCTGTCTAAAGCCACTGAATTTGCACAGCCAAAGCCTGTGCATGGAAGAAAGCTCTGCACATCCTCCCAATTTCCACAGCTTCACAGGTATGTGGGGAGGCATGGCCTTTTCCCTGTAGCTTGAACCCACTATAACTTCTGTAAGACAATGATATTGCCCCTGGTAGAGCTGGATAGGCATTGCACCAAGGGCCCTGGATGGTAAACAACACTTTATGCCTTTCAGACCAGTTCTGACCAACTGAAGGGGTTCTGTTTTTTAAAAATTGTACCTCTTTTGAACCGTGGAATACTTATTTTTAAGTGAAAATAAAAAATATTCCTAGTTTTAGGTCAAGCCAAAAGCCATTAAAAGAAGGCAAGGCTCCACAGGTGTGGAGAAAAAGCCCACAACTCTCAAGGAGTTCAGGATTTTTCCTCTTTGCTATCCTGTAGCTCCAAACCACTTCAGCTCTGCAATGCCATGAGCCTATGTGCTTCCGCGCTGCACAGCCTGTGTGTATGTGATAATGAATAAACCTAAGGGTTTATTTCCCTTTTTTTCCTTATATATCTCTTGCACTTCTTGGGTCAGACCACAAACTTGGGTCTCTTGGGTCTCTTGGGTCTCTGACCACAAACATTGCAAGACCCTAAACATCTTGATGGTAGCTCATATTTGACAGATGGCACTGTGAAGTTACTTCAATACATTTCAAACACATTGCTCTGGCAGAGTTAATACAGAGATTAAGTGATGAATGGATGAATGGATGTGCCAATGGTCTCTGCTCTTCAAGTCTCATGTGGTCATGTGTTGCATCCTCTCCACTTCCAACCATAGGACTTCTGAAAAGGCCAGGCCAAGGAAGTGCAGAACTTGGTCCCAAGAACTCAGATAAGTATTTGAGTCTATTGCCAGCTTGTCATGAGTTCAGCTTAAAACTGCATTCAGGGAGGGCTAAGGATGCTGAGGACACAGAGGAAGATCACCAAAAACAAAAAGAAAAGGAAAAAACAGTGTCTTATTAAAATAACATGAATAACATATAAAACRAAAGTACTCTAACACCATTTCACTATGCCCAAAATAGGCTAATCATTTTTAAAGAAATTTCAAATTACAAAGGGATATGTTATGTTGCTTAAACTGTCAGCTGTAGGAAGATGATTAATTCTACATCACCAATAAAATACTTAGCTGCAAAACACTGAGCAAAATGTCTTTTATAGCCATCAACTATAGAGAGGAAAGTGCTACAGCCTAGTCAATGCGCTTTGATCAGAATAAATGATATACTTATGGTGAGACTACAGCTGTATTTTGGAGTTCTTGTGTGAATTTCTCTTGGCAGAATAACCATCCACAGTCAAAATGGTCTATTTAATATGAATACATTTTCTATTTGGTCAGGAGTCAGTATGTTCCATAAATCTTCAGAGGTGAAATTTTCATATGTATATATTTTATGTATGGTTGACCATACTGACAAGGTCAATACTTTTTGGGGAAGATGGGTGGGATTTTTTTCTACTTTCTGTTACAATTCAAACAGAATTTTTGTTCTCTCCATCTGAAGTGCTCATAATTAACAGCAACCAGGTCCATAATAAACCCTTTCAAGGCTGGAGAAAAACTCAGTTGCTCTCAGCATTCTCCTCTTCCATTACAGTCACTAGGATTTCATGGCAGCTTCCAGAGTTGACCATGATTCCATGGCACCTCATGAACATGCTAGAGTCCTGGCTAGATGGTTCAATTTGCTGAAATTCTGCCAGGGCTTGGAAAAAATATCTTACATAAACATCTTTGCAATACTCTAGTTAACCCATTGAGAAATAAAGTATTTAATAATCACATTGGTGATTAGTATTGTGTTAAAGTTGCTCTTTGCATATATACTTATGTAATATTATTCATATGCATCACCAGTATAACATCCACTGAGTCCACTCCAGATACATTAGGAATTCATTTTGCTCCTGAAGTCTGTCTTCCTGGTCTGATTTGGATACCTCTTACGGGCTCCTTCCACAGGCAAGAGTCCTTTTACCCCGGACTTGATGCGGTTATCTAGGGGAAAAAAGGTAATCTTCTTTTGGCTTGCTTCAACAAGTTCCAACAGCATTGCTCTGTATTCAAAAGCCTCTTGGCAGCTCTTCAACCCAGATCTAGCAGAAGAAACTACTTGCTTACCATATACTTACTGCACCAAATGCAAATGTTACTGCTATTATTTAGGAACCCATCAAAGCATTATGTTAGAGGAGGAGGTTCAAGAAACATAAACTTAAAAGTAGTTTTAAGGTTAATATACTTGCACAAATAAATAAGCAAGTCGAGTACTTTATTTTTAAAAGATGCTAGCTCACACTATGAGATGATTGCCAGAATCATATCCCTAGATCTCATTTGTAATGTAAGTATCTAATTTGCTTAGATTCTTACAGAAAGAAGTTTGCCAATCATCAGCTGCATGCTCATGTTCACATCCACTGAAGATTCAGCTGCTGATATCTTGTAATAGATGGTTAAGCCTATCACTTATAGACTAGTGCATGTTGGGTCAATCCTTTGATTTACTTTCCGAGCTATGCTCACACCACAGCTGAAGTTAGTCCATAACATTGCTTCAACAGTTGAGCCTTGTCCTCTTCCTGCCAGCTGCCTTGGCCGGAGAAACTGTTTCAGACTATTAAAGGTGAGCCTCAGACAAAAGAAAATGAAAAATCATTAATACTAAAGCACAAGGACCTGGGAGCCGAATACTCTCCCATTTTAAAGCTTTATGCAGGGAAGCAAGGCAGTGGCTTAGATGTTTTTGCCAAGGTTGAATGTCGAGATGAAGGTATGTCCCTGACTGGGAAAGTATGTCCTGCTTTCTGGTCACAATTGTTATTTGTGGCCCATGGAAAAATTCTGTCAAGCTCCTGTTGTCCTAGGGGAGATGGAAGTCTCACTCTTTTTATTGTAAGGAAACTTTATATCCCTTTAAAGATGGGCTGTTCTATTGATATGCTGCATTGCACAGTGATGGTGCATCAGAGTATAAGGTCCTGCATGAGGTAGATTTTAGGCTAACGTAGAGTGCAAGGTTGGCTGGAGAGTAGGGCAGTCTAGAATAGAGTGGAGGGTGGAAGGTAAGGTAGTGTAGATTAGAAGAGAGGGGGAGGTGCGTGGTAGTGGGTAGGGTAGAATAGAGAGAAGGATTAGGGTAGGTTTGGCTTAGGTTAGAGTAGGCTTATGTTATAGATTAGGATTAGGATGAGGTTAGAATAGGTAAGATTAGAGTATGACTAGGGTACAGTTCGGTTAAGAGTTAGGGTCATGTTAAGGAAGGATTACGGTAGGGTAGGGTAGGGTAAGGTAGGGTAGGGTAGGGAAGGGTGGATGATGACAAAGTTTAAGATAACAAGATGAAGACAACCAGTATTTTCTTCTGAATGAGTTTTCTTCTTTATCCTAGTTTAAATGCTTTGCTTAATTTATAACTCGTGAACTGTATTCAGAGTATTGTTTTGATTTTTGCCATCTGTACTCACAGCCTAGATACAGAAGCCTGAGAGACAAACTCTTTGTATGTGGTTGCTTTCTCTGCAGCATCAGTTGATAATATCACCCAGCCTTCCACTACTCACATGTTAATCTGTCATGTCCTAGATATACTGGCTACAAAGGCACAGTCCAGTTCCTGAAAGAAACATGTTAATATCCCACTGTGCAAGTGAGAAAAGAATTGGCTATGCTGCAAGATCTGGCAGTGTTCTCAATAGTCTCTGTTTAAGCAGTGTCTCTGCTTAAGCAGTGGAAATATTTCTTTCCATTTTGATTTTACTAATGATCATCAAATCATAGYACACCCATATCATATCATCTGGGATCATATCAGTTCATCTCTATAACCAACACAACTGGCAATGTCTGCTGCAGTGAGCTGTTACTACGTGTTCAAGTTCCAGATTTCCTTTGGCAAATTTGTTCTCTTGGGTTGGGAATTGGCTAAGACAAACATACAGGACTGCAGCGACTTCTCACCACTGAAGGGGCCAGACCTTTGTGAGCTAAAATCTAGCCCTAGACCCACCTTTGGAGTCTAGCTCCAATTCCTGCATGGGAGGATCACAGTTTCAAAGAAATGAAAAAAATATTGGCCTTAAATTTTGGTGCACTGGGATCTCCGCGGATCTTGGACTAATCTGTTCTGCTCCTCTGCTAGACTCACAGAATCATAGAATCCTTAAGGTTGGAAGGGACCTMTGGAGGTCATCTAGTCCAAATCCCTACACACGCTGGCACACCTAGAACATGTGGCACAGGGTTGCATTCAAGTGGGTTTGGAAGATCTCCAGAGGAGACACCACAACTCCTCTAGACAACCTGTTCCAGGGTTCTGTTACCCTCACAGAAAATAAATTTTTCCTTAAGTCCCTGTAGAACTTTTCATGCTTCATCTTGTGGCCATTTCCTCTAGTTCTATCAGTGGTCACCATTGCAAAGGGGCTGGCCCCATCT